ATGACTTAATAACTCAAGAAAGCTATAGGCTACATTACATAACGCTAAGACCAAATAAACGAGCGTGAACAGTCCACAATTTAACAAAACCTAAATCAGTTTAATTAAATTGTTATTCGTCTTATTCTATCGAGTTGTACTCTGTGATGAAAAGGGACAGTGTCAACGGGATTCCATAGTTTTTATGAATAAGGGATCTCTCATGATGTTTGATATCATTCAACTTATCTACTGGGATAAATTTAAAAGAACTAGTGACCCTTTTGGTTACGTTGTTTTTACTTACAAAATCCTAATTATAAGCTTTTCCGTAAAGAGAAAAATACGCTGGTGAACAGGATTTGAACTTACCACGGTTGAGAATAATATTCTCTTAATAACAATTAAGCACTTGATATTTACAACGATTTATTTTTAAACTAATTTTGATACATAACGACGACGCCATACTGTGAGGCTAACTGCTGCGAATACGTTGAACTCATAAAAAAATAATAAACCTACTTATTCCCAGACCTCAAATTTTAAGTTATTTTTTTTTTTGCAGAATTTATACTTCGAGAGATACTTAACTTTGTAAGTAGATTTTTTAATTATAAAATTCGTATTAATTTAAATTTGATTCTTTTATATCGCTGGTTTACTAGTTTTAGTAACTGTGTACATTACTTTACAAAAATCTTTCCTTATTTAATAGTAGTATAGATTATAGTTTTAGGGAAGAAAACTGATTTTTTTGTCTATTGCAGAGTCAAAGTGAACTACTTCGTCCAATTCTATTGGTTATTATGGAGAAATATATTATCTGTAAAGCACAACAAATCTATATGGATAGCTGAATTTTGTCTCCTAATGGTAAGTTAATACTCCAATTTAATATGCATATTATTTAACGGATTTTATGTATAATCTGGACAAAAATACACGAGAAACAAAAAAAATTGGTTACATTTGGGTATTCTTGTTTGATACAGCAAACCATATTTAGGCGTAATAACTGGAACACTCACTATGTTGTTCGTAATACCTGCAGCTGAGTTTCATCATCGGACGTCAAGGCAGAATACAAAATACCATCCGTACGAGTATCACCTTGACGTCCGACGTTCCACAACTGAGCGCTTCTTAAGGCAATTTCTGCCGCCACCACCACTATGTGGAACCAGGGGCCCACTGATGTATTTCCGAACCAATTCGACTTAGAGTGCTTCAAGAAAAGAGCGTACTATTTCTTAAAAGACCGGCAGCGCGCTAGCGAGCCTTCTGACAGTGTGAGTGTCCATGGGCGGCGGTATCACTTCACATCAGGTGAGCCTCCTGCCCGTCTGCCTCCTGTAACATAAAAAAAACACTTGACTGATATACGTATACATAATAATAATTAAACCGCCGCAAAAATGTTTCTATTACGGGACTGAAGCACGTATGAATATTGCATCATTATTGTAATTATCATTAAATGGACCTGGTTATAATATTGGACAATTATTACACAGTCTTGTCTGGACATAATGACCGGTGCTATTTATAACGACAGTTAAGTTATTACAAAGTATACTTCATTAATATTCAAGATTACTGATAATTTGTAGAAATATTAAGATTTATCTTTTCTTATATTAATTCTAAAATATAGGTGTATAAATATGTTTTATAGTTAAAATTGTTTGCTAAATGTTCTCCAATTTACAAATAAAGAGGTTGGCCTGTGTGTATTCCATAGATATAGACAGATATATGGTGAGATCAGTCACTCGTTAGCCCTTCCCCGTATCCAAGGCATGGAGGTGTCCAATGCTAACTTCTTACTTAGGGTTGACTGAAATTATTCCTACGATAGCAATATGTATATTTTTGTCCAATCCGAGATTTTGAGGACCATCTTCAGTTAAACATGCTAGCCCTATGCAGCTTATAGTCTATGCTTTTACCAACATGTATGCCATGGTTTCAATGGTATTATTAAAATCAAGTGTAACTGTCCGTTTTAACCGGAAACAATTAGTGTTTCCGCCGGATATAGAACCATACTTAAGCCAACCGAGGAGGTTGTTTGTCACATTTTTTCCACAGGAAATATGTCAACGTTATTAAAAAATGATCAATTAGCAATCAAGTTTCGATTAATCCGCTACACGGATTATAAGTAAGAAAATCTTATAACTTATGTTTATGACATGGGAGATAAACTTATAAATTTAAAAAGTGTGATCCCGCGTAATGCTGGCAGCATTTCCTCGCTGTATTGCGATACTTATTCGTTAAACGAGGAAAGCACCAGTTCTGGCACTCTATATTAATATTGTATATATGAAAGTTTTTTTTGTTTATGATGGATGTGGACATAAACCACAGAACCGATTTTAGTAAAATTTTGGAAATTATGTATGGACCTTGGGACCTACAAATAACGTTTTATCGTGAAAAAAGAGGTTGAAATAGGGCATAAAAGTTTGTGTGGAGGTTCATCATTTAAAATGGTGCCCAAAGCTACTGTGCGGACGGCGATTTGAATCGATATCCCAGATTTGTAAGCGTCCTTTGACAAACTATAGCGATATACTGTAAATTTGATTTTATTTGCCGCAATAGCACGAGTTAAATCAAATTTTTCTTACAAAACTGTTTAATAAAATAAACCTTATTTTGACATACGCTCTAACTTTATTTTTATACAGTTTGTTGGACTCATAATATCAATTCCATACATGGGCCACTTCGAGGAGTTGGATCAGAGAGACATCCAGAATGCCGAGGGACTCCTCTACCTCACCATAACAGAGACAATATTTCTCTTCATATATGCAGTCTTCATCACCTTTCCGCAAGAGGTTCCTATACTATTGCGGGAAACAGCGAGTGGACTGTATTCCCCGCTACCGTATTATTTGTCAAAGATGATATTTTGGGTAAGTACCTGATAAGGGCATTGTACTAGATTCACTGTATTGATTTTATTATTACGTATAGAAAATTTACCTATGAATAATGAATATGAGTAGTCTTTATGTTTTTCAAAAAACGGTAAAAAAACCTCATATTTAGTATCTATGGTAATCTTCTGGCAAATACATATGCAGGTACCTACTGCAAACACATACATCGCTACCACCCTTTATGGTTTTAGGCTCAGGTTAGTGATCAGCCCTCTGTAAGTGACATCTTTTTTATACTAAGACAATAATAAATAGTAAAACAAATATTGATTTGCCTCTTCAAGTCAACATAGTGTACAGCTGCCAGGATTTCTGCCATTTTTGCCAGTGATTTATTTACTCAGAATAAATCACTGGTATTTAAAAGAATTTTACACAACGACCACCAGATTATGATTATGTGATTTGTAATTATTTCAAGTAATTGAATAAATAATCCATAAAGGCTGATACATTCAATCCAACTAATATTATAAAGGCGAAATTTGTAAGTATGGATGGATATTTGTTACTCTTTCACATAAAAACTACTGAATGGATTTTAATGAAACAATATAGCTTATACATCAGAATAACACATAGACTACAATGTATAAAGATATTGTCTGAATTGTCCAAAATATCAAGTAAGTAGGAAAAACCATCTGCGAGCAATTCTGGCGTGCGCTGCCAAAACCGCTAGAGTTACATATATGTAATGTATGATGGAAATGTTTATGTTAAATAGTCCTACATAAAAGCCCGCCACAGTATATATCTATGTCGTATGTTTAAGCCATTATAGCCAAAATAGTGAACCACTAGTACACTTAAAACTGATAATATGTTACAAATGCACATTTGGTAAGAAATTTATACCTAAATGAAAATAGATACTTTTCTCGCTTCTGGTATTTAAAGTACCTAGATAAAATATGTCTTTCACGGAAAAATATTATTTTAATCCTGCGCAGACGAAGTCGGGCACCAGCTAGTAGTAAATAACGATGCGTAGCGGGAGATCATTCTCGAGACACTTAAAATTCCACAAAACTGTCCACCGGAAACGTCAAACTATCCGCCGGAAGCGACAGTGGGCTCGTTGAGAATGTGAATCCGTGCATTTGATTGAGGATGGACAAACGGAAGTAAAAGATGACGTGAGGCGTGAAAACGGGAGTCAGCACCCGTCGCATAATACGACATTCTTTAATCTGAATTAAAGATGTGGATCACAATCTAACGGAATCATTTCCCATTTCGTTACAGAAACCCCTCTGTAGGACAATTTGCGACCGCATATCTATCAATAGACTATCCAAATTGTGTTTTGTTTATCTTCATATTAGTGTAACTGATCTGACGCAATCACTAGCCTAATGAATGAATATAGTTAATTCAGTCATAAATGCAATATTGTATTAATAATATCTTGTGACAAACATTGGATCAATAAGTTTTATGCTTAATTAAATATGTAGTCTTAAGTTCATTTGAATACCTTGGATAACGTTAGTTGAGTATCATGTTCATTTATTTATTAGTATATCGTTGAATATTTATAATTTGATTAAGATTATGTATCAGGGATGTTCTTGATTTACGTATGCAAACGATAAAGATGGTAGATAATTAAAAACATAGTTAATTACATATGGATATGGAAGGCTACAGAGTGGTAAACCTGGGATCAAAAGAGAAGGAAAATTAGTTTGTAAAGTAGTTGGGAGGATGACATACGAAGGATAGACGGACTTAAGAATACCGAGGGACAGTTCGAAATGGTGACATTTGCTAGTTGTATTAATTGTAATTAAATATATAAAATTACTAGCTGCCCCCGCGAACTTATATAATATAATATACAAAAAGGTTCAAACATTTACGAAAGGAAAAAATGTATAATACGTAATACCTAATTCGGCTGTGCTGTGTGATGGTGTGAAAGCGAGGGTATGTACGTGAGGGTGTGTATGTGGGGTATGCTCATGATGCAGGTGATTTAGCGCTATGGATATTCATAATACTCCTTTTAAGCATATTCCGCGATAGGTTAAACAAGTCAACGCTTAAATAGTGGCCGTTGTATGAGTGTGAGAAGTGACCTGCAATTAATTTTATTTGAGATGTCATGTAGTAGTCATATTATTATTCAAGAAATCAGATGACGTTCAGTCCCTAGAAGAATCTTTCATAGCTAAAACAAAGTGTCTAGTGCTACGTCATAAATATAACTTATAAATGATACATACTTTAAATTTTTAGTAGTCTATAAATAGTAGCCAACTACAGCTGTTATAGTCGGTGGGCATAGTAATTTTATACGTAGGTTGGTGAATAAATTAACTTAATTAAAACAGAGAATGTTGTATCAGATTGTGAAATGATTAGAAAAAATGCGGAACTTATTTTATAATGGAAATCTTTTTCCATGCTAACATTTATAAACGATCTTAAAAAACCTGAGGTGAAGGAGTGTTAAAAATCAACTCAAACATGATTTTAGAATTTAGGTACCTTAATATGTCGATAGAAACAATGCTTATAAGAAATTGGTGGTAATATGTTCATAGCGTAAAGCGGTTTTTGGATGATATAGGAAGTAACGAAATTAAGTATACAAAATATTAAAATTAATCAGTGGCGCTACAACCTCTTTACCTCTGGGCCTCAGATTTCTGAATTTTCAGCAAGTAGGTGATCGGCCTCCTGTGCCTGACACACGCCGTCGACTTTTTGGGTATAAGACATGTCGGTTTTCTCACGATGTTTTCCTTCACCGTTCGAGCGAATGTTAAATGCGCACATAGAAAGTCCATTGGTTCACACCCGGAGATCGAACCTACGACCTCAGGGATGAAGTCGCACGCTGAATCCACTAGGCCAACACTGCATTACAAAGCATTAACAGTGGTTAAAATGTGTGTTCTATGGAAGGTTGAATAATCTTTTATAATAATAATACAGTGGCGCTACATGGGTTTGGATTGCTACAGTTTTTATCGTTTCTAATTGTATAAGCAAAGTAGGTGAAAAACCTGTGGTAGGGTAGCATATTTGATATGGATTGTACAAGTGTTAAGTGCTCACATCTATGAACAAATTTGATACCGCTTTTTTGTATAACAAAATAACTGAAGGGGTATCACGACTTAACCACTCAAAACGTCCAGTAATGTGTAAATGGTTCCTAATTAAAATTTAATTGTCTTCAAACATTCCTCGGTCTAATATAGCATTAGGCTAGCTAATCACCATCTTATAAAATCCGTTGCTTACTTCGATATATGTGTTAATAGGACTGATTTAAAATACATCACAACTTACTATCTATTACAATGGTATACGTATGTGATGTAAAAAAATTGTGAAAAAATATGGTTTTAAAATTATTTTTATTTTTAGAGGATTTAAGCGGTTTTGTTTAGATACTTTAGTTCGGCATCTTTATCAGACTTAACTAGTATTGGTTATTCACAAACTATTTCTTTCAGATACCACGCGCAGTCATAGAACCAATATGCTTCGTGACGTTGGTATTTCTCGTCGCTGGCCTCCAAGGTGGTATAGCGAACTGGGTTGGCTTCTGTTTTGTTTGCATCCTCTGCGCGAACTACGCAAATGCTTATGGTAACATAACCTTTATTTATTTCTTCGTACACAAAAAGCACTTGATATAAAACCTTTTACTTAGTCTAGTTAGTAGGTTCTAACGACTAATTACACATAGGACGACTTGACCCTTCTCTCTACGTAGTAAAAAATGTCTAATGGTTACAAAAGGAAGAAACGCAGTTTCGCATAATAGTGCAAATATGTTATTTCCTAACTTATATGTACTTAACTTTACAGCTTCGACGAAAAACCTATATAATAATTAAATGATTTAAAAATGTATTTTCGTGTTTTTTGTATAAAAATACAAGAACTCACGACCATTTTGTCACATAGAATCAAATTTTAAATTAAATACAATACTGATTTATGGTCTGTAATTAGATGTTAGCTGTAAGATACCTAAAACACGTTCGTCAGAAGTCAGTAGTGTAACCTAAATCTGGAATATCACTTAACTAACTTGTATGAAAATTGTTATACGTGATTAGTTGTCTAGATGTAGAAAAAAAATAGAAACAGAACTTCGTTAGTAGAAAACTGTTGGACACTCTGAAATCATTTAAAAACCTTATTCAGGCATATTGGAGTCTATGTTACGGTCCTAAAATTATTAAAGATGATTAACAAGGAGTTTAGCTGAAGTTATGATACCATGTTAAATTTTAAGTCGATGAGAGAGATAGTTCAGGATTTAAAGTTTTATTTATATTAAAGAAATACAATACTTTACTATAAGACATTTTTTCTTTTAATGTAATAGGAGGCAAACGGGCAGGAGGCTCACCTGATGTTCAGTGATACCGCCGCCCATGGACACTCACACTGCCAGAAGGCTCGCAAGTGCGTTGCCGGCCTTTCAAGAATTGGTACGCTCTTTTCTTGAAGGACCCTAAGTCGAATTGGTTCGGAAATACTTCAGTGGGCAGCTGGTTCCACATAGTGGTGGTGCGCGGCAAAAACTGCCTTAGAAAACGCTCAGTAGTGGAACGACGGACGTCGAGTTGATACGGATGGTATTTTGTATTTTGCCTTGACGTCCGATGATGAAACTCAGCTGCAGGTATTAGACCGAACAACTCCTCTGAACACTCTCCATGGTACATGCGGTAGAAGATGCAGAGAGACCCCACATCTCTACGCAACGCCAAGGGATCAAGCCGCACAGAAAGTGACTGGTCGTCGACGATTTGAATCGCTCTTCGTTGAATACGGTCAAGTGGAAGGAGCGTTTTATAACAAGTATGTTACCAAGGCAACTTCTTGTATGCCAGTATATACATACATACTTCACACCCTATGAAACTGAAGGAGGATTTGAATGAATATAGAGGAAATAGAGAAAAGAGAAAAATATAGAGAACATGAAACAGGGATAAAGTGAGAAAAACAGTTTATTCAGCGTCACATGATGTGAATATGAATTGAATCGAAATCGACGTGTTCTCCCGAGTGGTCTGTTGTAATGGGGAGAGGAACAGAAGTGTAACAAGCGAAAAGCCGTTTCATAGGAGCGTAATAACAAGTGCAGTGGCAATTGCCAGAGAGCTTGTCATGTCATTTTGGGAGTACCGATGTCGAAAATATTCACAGCAGAAATGGCCTTTCAGTTGCTACACTTTTGACTGCTATTACGTAGTCTTTGACAGTGACAGTATCGTCTATATTCTCGTTGGAGGTATTAAGTAACGTTATGTGTAGATATTAATTAGCAAAATAGCATAATTACTAATTTAGGTAATACTGATTAGGTTTTGAAGAAATTTAACGAAAGATGTGTAAAGTATTTTCTAAGAAAACATTGTCTATACAGCCTGATCACTGCAATGCCCCAAAGTGGGCCATAGAGCGGACACTAACAGCGGACATCGGACAATTCGCTCGTTGCAAATTGCGAAATGTTACCGCTACATACGGCTTAGTTTTTACTCCGTTATAAGTTTATTAATGTTAATTAAACAGAACAATGGTTAATTATGAATTCTTTTCTGTAAGTATATATTTAATCATAAGAATTGTATAGATTTAAGATTACACAGCAATAATGGGTTAGTAAACATTTATCACTCATTTTACCACACAAATAAGTTATAGAGTAATCAGAGTCGTTATATAATCGAATAAAAATATATAATCGTTCATTAACTAACTAACGGTTCGAGGACGCAGGAACTAGAGGATTTGAATGCATTTTTAGGATTTCGAGTACAGTGTATAGATACAGGCGCTAAAGTGGGAATGGATTTAAACTTAATACCCGAAGAGCCACAGTTCAGTACCTATTTTGTTACTAAAGACAAAATGAATTGGTACTTGAAACGAAAACAGATTTAACAAAAAGAAACTAACCATACTATTTACATACAACATCTATACATGAAACACTTAAGCCAAGCTATCACACAAGGACAAGAAAATTGCTTGCAATAGTTTCTAGCATTCGGGGGTACCAGTTACCAGGACGCGGAACATACGCGATTATCCGTTCTCCGTAAACATTTTGCATGGATTTTACGAAGCTTTAGTCTAGTAATGACTCTGAGTACCAATTAGAAAGTTAACAGATTGATTTACCATGTATCGTTCGCTTTCATGCTAGAGTTAAAAACGTTTACATTATAATTGCTAATATACAATGTCACGATTTCCGCACGTCAGCCCAGTAGTTGCACGCAACTAACACATTCATATTCCACAGGTTCTTTTCTATCCTCCGTATTCAATAAAATGGAAACAGCTGCGCTTGTATGCGTCCCGTTCGATTTAATTGGCACAATGTTCTCGGGTCTCTATATGAATCTAGCAAGCGCCTCGCCCTATTTCTCCTGGCTGAAGTACGTCTCTGGATTTTACTACGGCGTCGAGTCGATTTCAATCATACAATGGGATTCTATTGAAACGATCAACTGTGTTAGTGTGAAAGGCGTTCCCTGCATCAAGACGGGCCCGGATGTGTTGAGTAGATTTGGCTACTCCGAATCGCATTTTTGGAGGAATTGCACGTGTTTGGCAGCTATGTACTGTATTGCTCACACTATAGCATTTCTTATGGTCGTCAAGAGAAGCCGAGGCACGCCTGTATATTAGATTATTATTAACACTTAGTACGATTAAAGGCCAGCATTAAATTTAAGAATAAAGATTTAATATTTATACAGTTATATTATTTACTAATAAAATATATTTTCGTGTCGTTGTTTAATTCTATCCCACATCTGGAGTGTTAGCTTATTCGCAGAGTGGTAGTGTAGATTTAAAATTACACTTTTACGATATAATAATACATAAATACGAATAATTTTGTACTAATTTAAATAAGGTTTAATAAAAGTGTTTTTTTAAGTATAGTATGACCGTAGTTAAAATTATACTAGACGTGTGAGTTAAGTTATAGTTAATTTAAATTTCTGCTAAGATATTTGACACTACTTACTTAAAAAATGTTATAAGAACACAAATACAATAAACTTAAACTTATCAACTAAATAGAAACATTAGTTTCAGTTAATATTGAACTACGAATAAGCGCTAAGACACGAAACTTAAAAGACAAACAAAAACAAAATCCCAGAGTAACTTACGTAAGTGTGAAATCAATTCCCAAAACTATACAAACCGGTCGAAATTCGGCCCTCCCAAATACCAGAAACATTATGTTATAGCCCTTGCTATAGCATTCCATGTTTAGTTAGCTCTATATCTATTTTGAAGACAGAATTCCAATTACACATAAACGTACATTCCTAGCCATTTGTCATTGTCGGGATGTCGGCTCTTTAAATCAATTTTGCAGATAAAATACCTGTTTAATATTATTAGGTGTTTTATGACAAAATTTATTAATAAGTCATATTAATATAAGCATCAGATTAGATACGCTAACAAATTTACTAAGGGAAAGTATAACGAAAAACGAAGGTGCGTATCGATTGAAGACGATTGGTCAACATTTTCTAGACCAATCACGGAAACGCGATACTACCAATCACAATCGATATGCGCCACTGTTTCGTTTTTCGTTAAACAGTTTAATAGATCTAAAATCAGTTAAGAAATTTAGTTTCTTTTTATATCTTAACAATTAATAGTTAAACAAATAACAGTAGGTTTTCCTATATATAGTGCATTATATTATAGTGCACTGCGCTTGAGAGTTTATTGTATATTACGTATTTACTAACTTGCTATGTTGTCATAAGACAAAATTCAAAAGAAAAATTAATTGAAATCGATATAATAGTTAATAAACTGAGTATATATGGTTATAATTATTAAAAGGAGAAAGAATGGTACGTTGCGTTTTTTGTCTTCTTTTTCACTATAATTTTTTTAGCCAAACAAATTTTAGTTTTACACAACTTCTGGGTAATTTGATAAACCGCTTGCCGCCACTTTGCGGTAAAGTCATATTCAAATTTATCATTCAGATACAAATTCCTTGTAGGTTAGCAAATATTGTTTTTAATTTAAGGCGAAAAAGGTACAATAATAAATATATTTTAATAATAATATGTTATTTTATATTTGAAAACAAGTTAATCTTTATGAAATTTTTAAAGATAAATCATACAACAGCTCAGCTAGACGGCTAAAATTCCAAAAACAAACGTGTGCGATTTAATTGGCAAGTAAATATAAATGTTGGTCCTCTTAATGATAGTAGGAAGATAATAACAGCTGCAAATAACAAGAAACTAAAGGTCTAACTCGGAAACTGCACGCAACTTCTTGTGAAATACTTAAGACATTATTTCTAGAAGATATAAATGCCATTTCTCAGGACCATTACACGTACCAATGTATATTATTATACTAAAATTAATGACTATAACTTATTAAGAAATCTTAGAATACACAAACCATCGAAAACACAAATAGACCAGTATAAGGAAAAGTTACAGGATTTTAGACATGGCAATCATTAAATTCTTTTATTACAAGAAGTTGAAGATGGGTACATTTTAATATAATTAGTTACTTAAAATAAGTTTAAGTATATTGGTAGATTAGCTTACATTAATATGTATACGAAATACCAAGAAAATATAGTAAAATATATCTTGCAAAAAGTATCAACATGTATTTTATATACCATGTTATGTTATAGTACTTTATCTCGGACAGAGATCTAACCACTTCTACAGTCTAGAATTTAAAAACACACTTTACAGCGCAAAATTCTCAAAACATTATGTAATAGCTAAAGTAACACACTCTTCTTAAGCTATTTCAATCTTTTCAGGCTCCTTCCTATCCGCAACCTTCGATAAACTAGAGACCGCTGCACTCTTCTCTGTTCCATTTGACCTGATCGGCATCATGTTTTCTGGCATCTACCTCAACCTGAATAGTGTCAGCAAGTACCTATCATGGGTCCACTACATCTCTTCTTTCTACTATGGCACCGAGAGCGTATCAATTCTGCAATGGGACTCTATAAGTGAAATCAAGTGCGTTAACGCTCCAGGAATCCCCTGCATCAAGACTGGTACAGAAGTGCTAAGAAGATACGGCTACTCGGAAGAACATTTTTGGAGGAATTGTATAGGATTGGCTGCTATGTACCTGACATATCATTTTATAGCATTTACTATGGTTATAAGAAGAAGTAGGGGTACCCCTGTCTACTAATCCTTGGTGTAACAAGGACATTACGGTATACTGAGAGGCGAATCTCATTTTTATAGTTAATATCATTTCTGTTCTAATTAATTTTAGTAGTATGTTTATAAATAGACAATTTCTTTAAACTTTACATTCCTTATGTTAATGGAATGTTGAGGCACGCATTTTTCTTGGGATTTCACAACTCATGTATAATTACATACCTATCTACTTATTAAATATAATAGGCTTATTATTCATGTCATTTTGAATTTTGTAATTTAAAGTTGTGCATTATACTAAGTTCAAAGTAGTAATACCAATTTCATACGAACATTTTAAGTATAGTTGAACGAACTCATTTCATTGCTACATGTTGAAATGTCATTAAGTTTTTGTTAAGCTTCGATGCGCAGTAATTGAATAATTTACCAAATTGCACTTAAATATATTTGTTGAAGTGACTATGCATTAATGGCTTATGGTCATGATTATATTGTAATAACATCGGTGATCATGCATCCCCACCAAATAATGAAAAAGGAATAGAAACATACGTCGTGATTGTATAACAATACTTAGCTATGTTATTACTAAAGGAATATGATTATTTTATCTGTATTGTATCCGACATTATTGTATGTCAATTGTTTCACTGTGTATAAACAAAGTTAACGATTGGCCGATTACACGTCTTCATATTGCAAAGCTAATTATATGCCAATAATAATTTAAATCATCTTTAACCCATCTTAAGGAAAGGAGGTTTGACATTTCTGTAGTGATAATATATATTCGAAATAAATACGCCAATATTATGTTTGTTTGATAAATAGCCTTAAAATTTACTTATTACTCATGAAATATAAATCAACTCGTTTGTACTGTTCTAACGTCCTCATCTGTCTCTTTTCATCACAACAAAACACAATTGGACAGAAAGGGTAAGTTAAAAGAGTGCAATAGACTGATTTTAGGTCCTAATTGTATGTCGACGAATTCGCTGAAATTTTATTCTTAAAACTATACAAACATCTTGTATCACATAAATTAGAAAAAAATAATAGGTTCTGTAAAGTCTTAAGAAAATTGCGCAAAGTATTTTGGCGTCACTAGAAGTATTCATTTTCATACACCTAGCTAAGTACGACTGTCGGGTTTTAAGAATATCAATTGTACAAAACATTTATACCTGTCTTACAACAATTTACCCAATTTTCGATACTTTTATAAATAAAATACTTTTTAATAAATATACCCTTTATTTTCTTCCCTTTTCAGTCCGTAGTAACCCAAAAGGTTCCATAATACAGTAACGAATGCAAAGCCTAAATAGTTCTCACTTATATTATTTGAATATCCATTTTCTGTTAGTACTGCAATACCGTCTTTGTAGCAAATTGATGTGGAGTTGGTGGGACAATCTGTAAATAAAAATCCGATTCATAAATCAAGTTTATTAATTGCAATAAGACTTATTCATAAATTATTTTTTGCATGCATATGAAAACACATTTTTCTTGAATTTCAAATGCTAATGTAACAATGGAGCTTGTAACAGCACGCTGGAGTTTCATCCCTTCGTTATTGACATGCCGCACTGCACGATTTGGTTTATCGCTTCTTTTAAAAACACCAAAGTAGTGGAAGTCTTCCCTAGACAGTAAAATATGGGTTTATTTCAGCAGCAATTCGAATTTAAAAATCATTTATTCATTTAGGAACAAAGTACACTATTCAAATAAATTAGGAACTGCCTTGCGACTAAATTTTTCGAACTCACTGCGGTTTTCGCAGGGGGGGCGCCCCCCCAAACAGCTAACAGCATACGTGGCATTCTGATAAACTAAACTGTAAGCAATAAAAACGTGTGATGTGTAAGTGAAAAAATAGTCTTTAATTATTTAATGTATACAAAGCATACACGAAAAATTTTTATAACAAAACTAGCTGACCGGGCAAACGTCGTTGCCATATATATCATTTATAATAAAAAAATAGGGGTTGATCGTAGAGGGAGGAAAGGTGGGGGTTTTATTAAATTTTTTTTTTTTTTTTTAAAAAAAAAAAAAAAAAAAAAAAATTTAAAAACTGGACTGGGGTGGACTACCCCCTAACATTTAGGGGATGAAAAATAGATGTTGTCCGATTCTCAGACATACCCAATATGCACACAAAATTTCATGAGAATCGGTCGGAGCCGTTTTGGAGGAGTATGGCAACGAAAAATGTCCGACACGAAAATTTTTATAACAAAATATGTTACATCGTGTAATTTAAACATAATTTATTACAGAACATATTTTACATATTAATTTGTTTACGTAGTTATTTGTGACCCAAATTTTTCGTCAACTTAATACGTGCCTTGAATCATAATTATTATTTAACCTTAATAAAAAATACTAATAAAATAAGATTATCTTGTTTTCTATATACTACACGAAATCAGTAGTGTTGGCGTAGTGGTTTAAATTTGCAGCTTTCAAACCTAATGTCAGTGTAATGGGCATACTGATCACCAAATTGTCTATAAAAAACCTTAGTCCATTCTAGAGCCAAGAACCATACAGAGTTGTAGCGCTAGTTGTTTATTAGTATTGTTATAAAAGATTACAAAAAACAGCCAATTAAGTTCTAAAGTCTAAACAAATGCAGACACGTTTATATTTCACCTATATAAACCTATTTCTATTTTCCTATCATATTATACAAGTATCTTTATTTACACTACAAGATAATATAAACATTGTGCAACAGTTGATTACATGTAACTTGAATGATGTGGGCACTGTTTATGTATTAAGAGAATAATTTTCTATTCAACCTTGTGTGTTCCCTAATATCTCAAACAAAAAAAATGGTGTAGTATAATTAGATGGCCCGTTTTATATCTTATTTATTGCATATTTTCGAGACTTTCTTGATAAAAGTGCAAACTCCGATTACAAATCGTTATGTGGTAAACGATGATTATCATTCACGATTAAATGATCCAGATTTTTTAATAAGTAGATATCAGTATGTGGCAATGCGTAACATAACGGAAACGTACCACTGTTGATCTAATGGCGTGCGACTCTCATCCCTGGTTCAAACCCGGCTGTTTAACAATGGACTGATGTTCATTCGCTCCAGCGGTGAAGGAAACCTTGCATGGGTTGCCTCCAATAAAGGCGACAGCGTGTGTCAGGCACAGAAGGGTGATCACTATTTGCATTTTACAAAAAACAGACAAATAAATCTGAGGCCCAGACCTATGAGGTTGTAGCGCCATGGATATTTATGGCAGGCTACATGCGGCACCTATATGATGCTTACATCCATAGCTTATTATCTAAATGCGAATGGCTTTCTCATCAATTATGGATTAATTTGATACTTTTGAAAAGTCAATAAACTCGACTATTATATTCGACAAGGCTACATCCGGTTAGTCTTAAATAATTAGAAACAGCACAATTTAATCTTGCACATAATTTTAATTCAAATTATAATTATCTTATCGCAAAAAAAAACAGGAAATGTTTTCTACAATTCCAGCTTTTTACTATTTGACGTAAGCCTAATTATTAATCCTAATTATTCTTACACAAATAAATGTACTAAAGTAAATTGGCTAAAGAATAAATAATAAAATAAAACAATTGACTGTAAAAACTTAACAAGTTATGATCGTGAGAATATCGCTTCATAGCTCTATAGATTTAAGTTTATTGCACCTATTCAGGTGGTTTTATATGAAGCACGAACAAAAATCGAATAGCAATCGTAAACGAACGATATGAAAAACTGCTGATAATACGATTCAAATTGTATTGAAAGTAGATACTTTCGAGCTTCAAAATAAAGTATTGACGTTTACGAATACTTGACGAAACTAAAGTTCTCTTAGGTCTTTGAAGATATTATGTAAGTCCAAAGTATTACTCCGTCTTTGATTTCGAGTAAAAGTAATAAGAAAGAAAGTTTCATGCTTTGTCAAAGTCATTAAACCTACTGAACTCTAACTACAGATAAAAGTTAGGTTCTGCTACACTAAGATACGTTTTCATACTAGGCATAACAGAATACCTACTATACGAAAGCGTCTTATACGCATTAGTCTCAAATACTCTCAAGTTTTCTACATAAAAATCGTTTACAAAAATGTCATTCGAAATGTTTTGCAAATCTAAATTCCTCTAAATGAAATGATTAAAAACCGTTTTCTACTAAGACGTATAAAAAATCAGAGGTATCGAGGTGTGGAAATCTATTAACATAAACAAATATATTATGCTTAGAAGATGCGTTTATTATTAATTATGTATGATCTTTTGTGTGATAACATAAATATATACAATTAATTATGAATAGCCTTGATGAGTTTCTTGTTTGTTTATTTATATTAAGTCTCTGTATAAAGAATGCGTTCCTCAATATACTTATACTTGGTGGTTCTTAAAATGAATGAGAGTTACTTACCGATCGTGTCAATCTGTCTCCAATAAATATTGCTGACGGCATCCATGCCGTAGTAAAAGTGGGATATGTACTTCAAGGGCAGAAGCCATATTGGGAGGGATGACAGACGGATGAAGGCTCCCGACATGATAAAGAGTGGAAGATCAGCGCATGGCATAACGTCACCCATTACACCGGTTGATGTGAAGAGGGCACCCATACCGAGACCTACAAAAATATCTTATTTGACTAAAAATAGTTCTTCTTAAATATTCTTTAACAACAGTTTTACAAGAATTTATTACATAACATGCATTAATCATGGTAATAAGAGTATGATGAAACCTCTTATTTATATTTACTAACAGCTAATTACTATTACAATGCGCAGAGGCGATGAGAACTTGGAGAAACTGATCGTGGTGGGTAAGACAGAATGCAAAAGATCACGTGGCCGTTCACCAACCAGATGGACCGACCAAGTGAAAAACTCATCGTCCTCAATACACTGTCATAAGAGAGACGCTGGGCAGAAACCGGTGGAAATAGATAGTCCGCTCCAGACGCTTTCTTGCTGACCATGACGCTCAGAAATGAGCTGCCGATTAAAAAGAGAGAAATACCACTAAACTAAAAAAATAAATAATTAGATCAGTGCTTCAACCTTTTTTTTAGGCCTGGGCCTCAGATTTCTGTATCTGTTTCATGCTCATTTGTAAATCTAATAGGCAAGTAGGTGATCAGCCTTCTGTGCCTGACGCACGCCGTCGACTTTTTGGGTCTAAGGCAAGCCGGTTTCCTCACGATGTTTTCCTTCACTGTTCAAACAAATGTTAAATGCGCACATAGAAATAAAGTTCATTGGTGCAAAGCCGAGATAGAACCTATGACCTCAGGGATGAGAGTCGCACGCTGAAGCCACTAGGCCAACACTGCTTTATTAAACTAACTCTTAACATTACACCGTACATATAATTTTACATAAAAAAGAGAGAGTCTCTTTCTCGTTCCCTCTTTATTATTATAAGGGTGATGTCGAAGTTGAAGTCTCATTCTCTATTCATCATATTTAATATACGGGAATTAGTGCCAAGACCACATTTTTTAAATCGTTAAAGAATCCCAAGAATTACCAGACAAAAGAAATGTAAAATAGAACTAACCATAGGCAGATGACGCAATGGCTGTGATGATGAGGGCAAAAGAGAACTTGAAGGCAGTTAAAATATAGTTCGGTAACTCAACCGCCAAAGTCACTATCAACACATACGCTATGGGCCATATTAGGCACTTTGGCAACTGAAACAAAATCATGTCACACTGTTACACTAACAGGAAGTTTGTTAAAAATAAATCTATAATATAGAAAATTTAATTATTAGTTAAATATATTTAGATGTTAGACATTTTTTTAGGCACAAGCTGTTGCTTTTATTGCCAGTTCTTCTCTTCCGTTCTACGCCCTTGATTTGAGAACTAGCAGCAAATGTAAAATTAGAAGCATTCCATGTATATTTCTTTTTTGACGTTAATAAGTGTACATTGTGTTACCTATATGAATAAATCATTTTTGAGTTTTTTTTTTCACTTTTTTTTGGTTGGCGATAACCTAAGCTAAGCTTAAACGTAGGACGAGCGGACGAAGAAAAGAAACTTATACGCGAACTACGAGTATAACTCCTAATACATTGAAGATTTGATTCTGGATCGACCCCGTAACGAAGTTTTTGGTAATACCAAAGATCTTATTCATTCTCACTAACAGTCTGAACAGATACAAAAGATACAGATACAAAAATAAGTTATTAGGCCAAAATCAACAACTATTTTGGGCCCGTAAGTACATTTATTAATTTAGAACTATGTGCTAACGAAATTAATGTTACATTGTTAATTTATTAATAGTTTCGAAAATCACATAATCTAAACAATATTACAGATCTACGGAGATAAGCAAGCAACATTTACCTGACTGAATCTTGGCATAACTTTAATGAAACATGTCTAGAAATGCCAATTACCTGTCTACGAGTATAAAGATAATTATGTCCGTCATATTAATAAATGCACCAGAGAGTGCAAGATTTCTTTGAATAACTAAAGAAAGATTGCGTGTGGACAAATTTAATAATATTGTTATTTATTAGTCATATTATAAATAATTTGAGTGTTCTATTAAGTATGGTTCTGCGTTAATGGAGAAATAGTAAATTAAGTTTGTTGATGGTGTTTAGTAAATATTGTATCTAGCTTTATATAAATTTGATTTCTTTCTTAGTGGAAGATCTGCAAGTTAGCGTAAGAATATCTGTGAGCACGGCAGTTCCCCCTCCGAATTGAACTAAAAGGGGCACAGCCGTATCATCCTTTTCTCGAAACAGTTCTAGCCTTTTTGACCCCCCATTTAAGTTTGTTGAAGTTGTATATAACTATAAGTCTTAATTTTTTAACGACAATCGCAATAAACAATCTAATTTAATGTAATATGTATTACTTGTGAGATAGATAGTGTTTTTAAGCGATGACCAAGTGAATGTATTTATTTAAATTTTTTTATTAATTAGTTATTGTAATCTGTAAAAAAAAATATTTGTAATATTAAATGCCATCAAAAAGATAACTTGTAAAGATCAAGGCAACGCAGTTTTCTTTTATCGTAAAAAATTGTGAGATCTATGTCGGTTAATTTATTCAGTTCCTACTAACTACTGTCTTAAGTTATTACGTAATTAGCTAACCTAACCTAACCTAACCTAACCTATTCACAGTGACCATATCAATATTAAAAATCTTATATTTTAAATAAATACATTGACTTGGCAATCGCAACAATCTAATTCAATACGCATTACTTGTGAGATGCATCGTTTCCATGCGATTGCCAAGTCCATCTATTTATTTAAAACATAAAAGGATTTTAATATTGATATTGTTTTGGTTTTAACAGTAATTGTATTCTAAATTTGAAGCCTCTTAAGACAGAAGTTCCCTTAATTATTAAATTAACCAATTTCGATCTCACAACTTTTTACGGTAGAAGAACTGAATTTTGGTTTCTTGTACGAGTTATGTTTTTGATGGCATGTAATTGACAAGTATTTCAACTGGATGTTAGGCTATATTATGTTGCCTTCTTATTGATAAAAACGAAATCAGTATAATTGCAATATTTTTACTGTGATGACATTATTGAGAATTATAAAACAGACAAACGGGGTGGAAACTCGTGTGAGGAGGGTCACAAGTGTGTCGGCCTTTGATGAATACATGTAAGTTGGTAAGATCATAAATGGCTGGATTTAATCATAAGATAAACTCAATATTCACTGCAGAGTGAAAAAAATGACGGCCGAAAATATTTTTGACGGTTTACTTAACATAATATAAATCAACGAATTTTTATCTACGACTTCCTACCATTACACGATCTTAAGATTGTTTAATCTACTTTTCATTCACAAGTATTAGCGTCTTTATATTAAAATGTATTTTATTATACAAATTAAATAGATGTGTTAGCTTTCATTATAAAAAGTAATATATTAATAGTCATTTAAGATAATTTTAATCGGTAATTAGCGTATTTTAATTTGTATTAGCTTCCGTAAGCGACTTTTTTAGTACTTCCCATATATTTGATTCATTATTTAAATTAGGAATTAATTAAATAAAATTATGAAAGAACGAATTCTCAACCGGGTTTTTTTAATTACACATGATTACGATAATCGAAAAAAATTTGACAGGTCTAAATAACGGTTAGCAGATGTCTATGATTTTCTAAAACTAGAGATATTTTACATTAGTTAAAAATACGAAAGGTATCGTCTTCGCCAGAAAAATTGTGTTTGAAACCATTTTTCTTTCTGGTTTGATACACACAGATTTATCTTCGTTTGAAACTGTCATATACGTCTAATTGTATACAACCTCTTTCCATTACTTTATCAGTATTTTTAATCTTTATCTCGCATGGACACTCTAATGTCCCTTAAGGCATCAACTTCACTAGTTGAGAGATAAAAAAAGGTCGGCTTAATGTATGGTTTATTCATATACCCTTCGTCGGCTATTCAAGGTTTAAATAGAAATCATGTTTTAAAAATATGGATATGATTTCTACTTTATATTACTAGTCAAACATTTTAGACATGTATCAATTAGCTAAGTCTAGTAATTAAGACACAGTCTCATTTATCGCCTTTTTAAGATTAAAATTATAGATGTTATAATGTTAACGATCAACCGGGACACAACGATTTTTTTACCAGAAATCGAACTCAGGAACTCTGTAATAGATGCAACTTGTATTACTAGTGCTAAACGCTATTTTTTAATACCTTTCGTTCTAAATATTACTTACCAAACACAAAAACCTGCATACATAGAAAGCGGAAGTTCTGTACACGCCCACTTCCCGCTTAAATAGAGTAAGGTCACCTTCAAATGCGTACAACGCTACATAGGACAGGCTAAATGACACTTCCGAGCACATAAGCCATAGAAAGCCCTTTAGGTCTTGAACACCTCGCTGTGTCCTTCCAGATATGCCGACGTAACAGGTTCCAATGATCATAGAGGAGATGAGCTGGAAATATATAGGGAATACTAATAGTGTAAAACAAAGAGTTGTAAGCGAGTTTGCAAAGGAATTTTATAATTGTTTTTTGTAATCTATCTTGTATCTAATATATAAAATTATCGTGTCACAATGTTCGTTCCCATACTTCTCCAAAACGGCTCGACCGTTTTTTATGCATATTCAGTAAGTCTGAGAATCGGAGAACATTTATTTTTCAACCCCCTTAATGTTAAGGGTGGTAAATAAATTTTTATTTTTTAGACAAAACTTTTTGTTTTTATTTTTTTACGATACTGCATACAAAAATACATACAACTCTTAACTGTCACCCACTACGATCAACCCCGATTTTTTATTATAGTTGATAGTTATTTTTATTGAACTAAAAAATGTTTCCTAGAAATAATATACATGGCAAAACAACGTTTGCCGGGTCAGCTAGTAGTTTTATACTTTAATGTAATGGTGGGTAAATCTGTCGATTTAGGATTGTATTTACACACTAATAATCCTAGTATAACTTACTAGGATTACTTGGCTAGACCTGTGAGCAAAAAAACTTTGACCATAACTCCGGATTAGCTTAAAGGCAAAATACTTATTTTTAAACAATTATTTATGTATTTCTTAAAATAACAAAAATACATTATGTGGCTCCAAAACAACACACAGTTTACATAAGTCTTGTTCCAAGGTCCAACTAAAATAAATGTTTTATTTTTATTTGAAGTCGCCCTTAGTGTTAAACACTCGCGAACATAAAACTGCCATAATGGTTTCTTATATCCGTTCGAGTGCTAAATCTGTTTTAGATATATTATGATGTATTTTGACGGATTTGTTTTTACTCTTTTTCTCCCAACAAATGTTATGAATGAATAAACATGTTTCCTTCCCGATTACAGACAACAGCTTTCACATTAAAGTTTGCCATATATTATTCGATAATAATTTATAAAAAATTAACATACTCACCGTACTTACGAATAACTGTAATAAATAATCCTTAAAGTCTCTGTTTATTGATAGAGATGATCTCCAAATCAATAGTTGTATCTGTTTAAACCAATTTCTTTGACATCTACAACAAAACGGTTTTTGATTTTAAACAACGATACAAATATTTTTAGATGTCAATTAAATTTGGATATTATTCAATAAGATCTGTATAATACATACATATTCTCCTGAATGGGGTTTGGGGTTTATTTACGCGATCAGTATTATCAAACTTGATACTGGAAGCCTTATATTTTTAGCAAGTGAAATAACGCAATTGGAAGAAATTTTGATTTATTTTAATTCAAATCGACTTCGGGATTAGGAATCACATGCTTATGCTATGATATCAGAATCTCTTAGATACAAATGCTATGCTGTTATCCTGGCACAGTGGATCTAAGGCTGATTACCTTACTTATAAACATATGAAACAGCAACTAGTCCAAGACATTATGAGTACTGTTATTATCGTTTTATGCCAAAAATAGTGGTGCCACAAACTTTTTAGTCTGGACATCAGATTTCTCTTTCGTGTTAATTAATTTCTTCTAATCGGTAAGGAAGTCAGCCATCTGTACCTGACATACGCCGATTTTTTGTATATAAGGCATGCTGTTTCCTAACAATGATTCCTTCACCGTACGAGCGAGTGTTATATGCGCACATAGACAGAACATCCATTGGTGCACAGCCGCGATTCGAACCTTCGACCTCAGGGACGCGACTCGCACGTTGTAACTACAATAACACTGCTCGTTTTGTGCCGTTGGATGACAAAAATGGTTATTTAATCTATGCGTATAAAAGTTACTTACGTTTTAATCTGTGGCAATGTCAGTGATGAACCGGTTCTAAAACAAGGTTCTTGGTTATTTTCCAAGAACTCAACAGAACCATTTGATATAGCGCGTATGTAAAACTCTGCCGGGTTAAAATTAACTGGGCAGTGAAGTTTTAACCTGAAAGCACATTTTGTAGTTTGTTAAATTATTATTTAAAGACTCATGGGCTCTATATATGTTTTGCCTCATGGAGTTGAATTGGGGCATGGGACATATGTTTAATGATAATATTTAAAGTTTATATTTCTCGATTCCAGTTAAAAACAATGTGCGTTAATCACTTCGCTATCTTAGGAATTATAATTTATCTAAGGGAACGGCCATTATTGACAACTAAACCGATAATTTAACAGATTTTAATACATAGACATAGACATTATAATTTATTACAAACAAAAACACACACACATAAACACACAAAATAACAATAATCAAAGAGAAATAATTAAATAAAAAGATATTATGAGAAATATTTTTTCTTTTTTCCTTTTCCCATTCGGTTCGTTTCAACAATGTAATGCGTGTGCTGTGGCTGTAATTGGCCCTGGCTCAGCATTATGCTGAGGAGCAGAATGTTCCACAGCGCTGGTCATTCTGCCAGAGACCACATAAGCTAGTTTGCGCCTCAGTCGCAAAAAAAAAGAATGTATTAATTACTTAGTAGAAAATAATAATTATAATATTAGTAAAAGTTAGCAGTGTAAGTAATGAAGTCTTGTATAATATGGTGTGAAGTAAATAAAATAAAATTAAATGTTAAGGTGGGAACTGACCAAAGTTACGAGGTGTAATGTAGCATTCGCATCGAGCGTGTTACGCATCGAGCATGTTACGCTGTGTTTTAAAATCGGCGTTACATGCTCTTCAAAACTCTGTGCTCCGCTTTCGCCGCCAGAGTTCACGAGATGGCCGACAGCGAGGACGTGTTGATATCTTTCATTCTATTTAATTATTGTTTCATCCAAATTAAGAAGAAGAAAAAATGTAACTGGACATCAAACTTATTTAAAAACACAGGCGTATGAGGTGGTTTGTTATTGATTGCAATATTAAAAAACCACATGATTACTGGACAGTATAAAAACTTTGTGTAAATTTTGAAGAACTGTTGAATTTAATTGGACCAAAAGTACGTAAGAAAGACAAAATTTATATAGAAAATCATAATCATGATCACTCGCGACGTGCGACGCGTACTGACTGAACCGCGTAACAGTCAAAAGATTCGCCAAAAAACCGACAGCCGGGTGGAGCACTCAAAGCGAGCAACGAGCGGCTCGTCGCTCGCTGGTTTCCCCGTAACACGACGTACTGACTGCACGAATGCTCGCTGTGTAACGTGTTACATTACACCTCGTAACTTTGGTCAGTTCCCACGTTTAGATACATTTTTTGGGCGGATTAAAAACTAGATTTCGTGGGATTTTGTTGAGTACAATACAAACATAATACAAACATTTTACGTACAAGGGTTTGATTTCCGGCGAAACAAAACTGTTTTAACGGGTAATAACGGGTAGTAAGCGCAGAACCTACTTGACACATATCTATAATATAAAAATGAATCGCAAAATGTGTTGGTAAGCGCATAACTCAACAACGACCTGAACCAATTTGGCCAATTCTTTTTTATGGAAAGTATTCCTTGAAGTACGAGGATGGTTCTTACGGAGAGAAAAATTAAAAAAAAATCTTTTCTTTACTAGACTGGTGTCCCGAATAGCAGAATAAGTATTTAAACAAAATAAAGAATCGACTGTTAGGCGGTACGATGTTCGCCAGGCCTGCTAGTTATGAATAAAACATACACTCCCATACGTTATTGGGTAGTAGTTGGACATAAAAATGACTTAATTAGTTAGAATAAATTTGTTCTAATATAAAATACAAAACTAATTAAAATTCCATTGTATTACGGATAACTGATGGTTCTCATTATACGAGTATATTAAAAAATCATGTAGAAACCATTAAGGACCTTTTAGGAACCCACCCAGTATCCGGTCGCGTGTCAAAATTACTATTTCGCATACTTAATAAATATGATAATTTAAACAATTTGTCTTCATCTGTCGAATTGACGAATAATTATAAGTAGAACCGGTAGAATGTAAAATTAAGTAATACCAAGGTTAAAATGACAAACTAAAACCAGAAGTAGACACCGGTGTTTAATTGTAGATCATCAATTTATAAACATATCTATAAATAATAATTTATAGTTAGCCTAAGATCTTTAAATAACATTTTGTCACAACGTAACACAACTCCAAAACGTCTTGACCGACTTGTATATATTTTTAGTGTCGGGTCGTAAACTTTTTTCATAACCTTAAGTGGTAAGGGAAATTTATGTAATTATTTTTAACAGAATTTATTTTATTCAAAAAAAAGTAATCACAAAGGTTTCCGGGTCAGTAATACATATATATACTTTTTATAGAGGCACGAAACTCTACTGTCATAAATCATATGATTGATTAAGATTTCTTACCGCTCAAATTGATTTTTGCATTCACTCTGACTTCCACAAAAGACGAGATTTCCTTCAGACATCAAACAGACTGAGTTGAACTCGTTGAAGAGGTCTGAGGACGGTTGGTGGACTGTACAAATAACTATTTTGCCTTGGGAAAGCTTTTTTAAGACACCGATGACGAGGGACGCGTTGTAGCTGTCCAGACCAGTGGTTGGTTCATCACAGATTAAAATTATCGGGCTTACTATTAACTGTAACAAATTTACATCCAAGTAAATTATTGTATTTATATTTTCCTATTCATAAAAACAGTAGGGCCAATTTAATAGATCATTTGAGATCTCAGTTTTAGCTTTACAGAGGATGTAATGTTGCGACGTACATTCCTTATTATGTATAACCTTGTATTGACGTTTGACCGAGACCGATATTCTTTTTGAGGCGAAGCGAAGGAGAGAGCTTAAGGAGAGAGCTTGTAGTTTATTGTTTATCAGAATGCCAAATCGTAAAATGACTGCTTCACGACTGATTTGAGCGCGACCGCCGATGCGAAAACCGCTGTGCGAGTCCGAAAAGTGAGTTACAGAATCGAAGGGCAGTTCTCACTTATAATAAATAAATCATGTATCATGCCGTTGCGGAGTTACCTATTGAATTTTGATGATGTGTGAAATATGATTTATTAAATTGACCCAAGATTTTCCAAATTCCTTCTGCAAAAACCCACATAGGAGTTCAGGCACCTCTCTTTCGAATTCTTCGCCACTTTAACGGATTAAACAGCACTGATCCGGAGCTGGATATATTCGGTAGTGGGCTGATGGTTTTAAAGCATTGTTTAGTGCCTATCTTGAACCTAATTTCTGGTAAGATAAAATATCTTGTATATATTTTTTATTGTATTTTATTTTTATTTTTTTGTAACATTTACGTTTACCTAAATTGTCATACATTTTAGATAAAAATACCGTAGATTTAGTACTTTTTAATAAATAAATAAATAACACTTACGGATGTTGCTAGCGACAATAACCTCTTTTCACCACCTGATAGACTACGAATAGTATTATTTTCTAGTGCTTTTAATTTGAGTTCAAGTATTAGGAATGTTAAATGATTTCTATTTTCTTCTTCATTCACGCTCCCGAGTTTCATTTCTGTCTGAAACATAAGCATGGAAATTATAATAATAATAATAATAATATAGCCTTTAAATTCCGAAACTCTGTCATTTTATATATCTGAACTTTAATATATTTTCACTCCAGTATATCTCGGAGTTCGGTTTGCCTCTTGGCAAAGGCCTCCTCTAACCCTTTCCACTGTTCTCTATCTTTTGCGACTCTTCTCCAGTTGTAGCCTGCTGTTAGTTTCAGCTCGTCCTCCCATCTCTTGCGTGGTCGACCTCTTCTTCGTTTTCCGTCTCTAGGGTACCATTCCGTCACAATTTTGCTCCATTTTTCATGAGGGCTCCGTAGCATATGACCCGTCCATCTCCATTTCATTTGGTCAATCTTAGTGAGAATGTCTGTCACACCTGTTCTAGCTCTTATGTCTGAGTTTATTTGTTTATCTAATTTTCTTATGCTCAGCATGCTTCTTTCCATGGCTCTTTGGCAGTGTGCTAACATATCCCTGTGCTGGTTAGATAGTGCCCAAGTTTCGCAGCCATAGGTAAGGCAGGGTAGGATACATGTGTTAAAGACTTTTCTCTTTATTTTTTTGCTGAAATCTGTTGTTTTCATGATCTCCCTCAGTGACCAATATCTTTTCCATCCATTTGCTATTCTTCTTTTGATCTCTTTGGTGGTTATATCAGTTAGAGAGATAATTTGCCCCAGATAAATGTACTCTTCAACGTATTCTAGAGGTTGATTATTAAGTTTTATTTCGTATGGGACTGAATTTGATAGTAGCTTTGTTTTGCTTGTGTTCATTTTCAGGCCTACTTTCTCACTTTCTTTGTTTAAGTCTTGTATCATTTCTCCAAGTTTATGAGGGTTCTCTTCGAACAATACAATGTCGTCTGCAAATCGAAGATGATGTAGTTTTCTCCCATCTATATTTAGTCCAAATTCATTCCATTCTAGTTTTCGGAATATGTTTTCAAGCACAGCAGAAAATAGCTTGGGAGATAATGGGTCCCCTTGTTTGACACCTCTTTCGATTTTAAATGTCTTTCCGAGTGTTTCCATTTGTATTCTTGCATTGCAGTTAGCATATATTTGTTTTATGATGTTTACATAGGCCCCGGATACTCCTTGATTTTCTAAGCTTTCCCAAATCACTTCATGTTTGATGCTGTCAAAAGCTTTGGTGTAATCTATAAAAGCCATATACACTGTTTTGTTATATTCACTGTATTTTTCTATGATTTGTTTGACTGTGTGTATATGATCTATCGTTGCGAAGTTTTTCCTAAATCCGGCCTGTTCCATTGGTTGGCTCTCGTCTAATGTGGTGCTTAATCGATCTAGTAATATCTTGGAGAAAACCTTATATATGTTTGACATCAGGCTTATTGGTCTATAGTTGGATAGGTCTCTAGGAAGACCTATCCAACTATGGAAATTATAACTCTAACTAATTATAACACTTCTCGTGACCACTTCTTAATAGGCAAGTAGGTGATCAGCCTTCTGTGCCTGCCACACGACTTTTTGGATCTAAGGCATGTGTTTCACCAATCAAGAAGCTTCCTTAAGGACCGATCTGGTCGCCAAACTCCAAAAAATTACTTTGTTTCTTTCCATTTTTCGTCATCGTTTCTTGAAGTAGGGCGAATGGAAAAAATATATGGTGGAGTTGAGTAGTTTATGTATCCATTTTGAAAGATCGATACACGATTTAAATAACTTCACTCGATAGAAAAAAAATCCAAACATAGCCAATTTTTGACACTTTGAATTCATTTTATGACGAAAATGTATATAGAACATGATTTTGAAATTTACACTATACATTTTATCGCAAGCCAAGTAATCCATTTCAAAAATAAAAATTGATAAAATTACATTAATTTAATGTTTTACATAGCTAATTGTTATTACGGGCCGGCCCGCCTGTGCTCCAGCTCTCCACTGTGCACCGCAGTCCACCCCGAGACACTGACACAGCAATACGTGCTGGGATAGGGCCTTAACCATACAAGGAAGTGTTAAATGCACACATAGAAATAATAGTACATTGGTGTATAAACAACGGATCGATTTACCTCAAGGATGAGAGTCGCACGCTTAAGCAATAATATACTTATCTTAAATAATCTAACTAACTCTTCCTTACCAATTGATATCAGACGAGCTCAGTCTTTAAATTTATTTAAAATTCTTCTTTTTGATAATTTTTCTTCAGCCGCGTAATTAGCTATTACTTATATATATTAATTGTGACTCAATTAACCTTTGGATTAGACTTTACATTTTTTATACATATTATTATTAGTTTTATTTTTTCTTTATTTATTTTAGTTATGGTTACATGTTATTTTGAGTTTTTTTTTGTTAATTATTTATGCACTTCTTGTACTTTACCCTCTGTAGGTGTTTCTTTTTTATTGTTCCATATTAGGGTTGCCTGGAAGAAATCGCTTGTTAGCGATAAGGCCGCCCGTTGCCTAATAACTTATGTAACCTGTTTTTTTTATATGTATGATTTTGTATAAGGTAACGTAGTGTAAATAAATAACTCTTTGTAAAACCTCACCATAAAAATCAAATGTTCCGAAACTGTCAGGTGATCCATAAAAACATCGAATTGAGGGACCAACTCGATCAAGCCTGACCGAATATTCACGACCTCCGTATTGTTTACTGCTATTGAGCCTGAAGAGACCAAGTTACATTTGCCAGCCAGAGATGTAAGGAATGTGGTCTTTCCTGCGCCACTGAAATCACCGTATTCATTAAAGTTTTATGTTCAATTTGTTACTTTATAAATTTATACTAATTAGCGTATTTGTGAAACGAGCTTATCTTAGGAGAATGTTCCAAATATTTGAAATTTTTATATGAATAAATTATATATAAAAAAACTATATTATAATAACAAACATAGTAAAATGGTTTTATCAACATTGTTTATTTTTCTATATTATAAAATTTGTTTTGTTTTTTAGGTTTTGTTTTGACCGTCAGGTCACCCCGTGTCCCATCAATTAAATACTGATCTTATACATAATTAAATTCAGTGACACATTTGTTATGGGCTTATCAGATGTGTGATAAAGAGAACTACTAAACTACAATAATAATGGAATTCAATTAAAGTACCAAGTCTTAGTTTAAACGATTTGGGATTAGCCTTTCAAACATTTGAAATCGTCAAATAAATGTATTAATTGTTCTATCATCTGTAGGGTCTTATTAAAATAATTTCAGCTCTTGCTAAAGCAAAAAAAATATGAACAACTCAGGCTTTAGTTATAAAGTCTAAATTAATAATCAAATAAAACTTACCAATTCAAAAACCACAAGAGTTAAATGTACACATAATATAATTTTCTTAACAGATATACACGTGAATTTATATATTATCTATTTAATATTTCTGTAAATTTTAGGTTGGCAATATATTTTTTCTGTAACAGTCAGACAGTTTGAAAATATTATTAATCTTACCTTGGGCCAATAATCGCGACAAAATCTCCAGTTTTCATACATGCTGAAACTAAAAAGTCATGCTATAGTTTCCGTCAGTAAATCGAGTCGCTGACAGCTTTTTCAAGGAACTAAAAACGCGTTCTTTTTCCATACAGCATCTTGCCGAGTCTGACGAAACTTATGTTCATAATTTCGTCTAACGAAGTAACGGGACTTCAATGAGCGAATTCCCTGAATTACACTGATACGATGAACAAAAACATTATGAGAAAAACGGGTCATTCCATAAGTCAGGCAAATATTTATTCATGATTATTCCAGAAATATAAATTATGTAAAATAGAAATGGTTGCGCTAATACATAGGTACTTAGATAAATAGTTAATTTTGACATTGTTACGATGATGATGATTACTAACCATTATTTAATATAGTTTTCTTAGATCTAGTTGCCTTCCTTCTCCACCAAGACTTTTCTTCTCTTGTTGAGACGGTTAGATTGTTGGCTCTTATGACTATTTCATTTTCCTCTTCTTTAAGCTGTAATATAAAACAATTTCGCTTAGGAATGCGCTTTAGCCTGGGATTAAATGAGTTCAAATGGTATGGCTTTACTATAAAACGCAGATAATTACATATTTATAACCACTCTTACAATAAAATACTTTGTAACCATGGTAACCAACATTTTGCAATGCCTAACGACTTTAGATAAGGCGGATTAAATAAGTTTGTTTTAGAATTTAACATCTGACACGATTTGAAGAAATCTAGTTCATTTCTAAAAACATTTATTAATATAAATAATCAGATGAATTTGAGCAGGTTTTTAAAGAACTTTAAAAAACTGAACCCTCGTGTAATTAAAAACAAACCTACCAAGAACTTTCATCAAATAACACTGGTTTAAAAAAACCAAAGAACATCTTCAAATCATTCATTGAGGGCAATAACATTTGATTGAAAACAAACAAATCAAGGCTAAATTACCATAACAATAGTATATTGGTAACAAATGATGCTGGTTTTTTTCCATTGAACTTTTTTATTAGCCTTTTTATAGGCCTACTTAACAACTTTATTATAAAGTATCTTATACACGAAACGTCTTAGACATTTATGGACATCTAAATTTAAGATTCTTTTATCATAATTATTTGTAGTCATTTGTATATATAATAAGTTAAACACACCTTTCGAACATTCTAAATGAAATTATCATTTAAAAATTTACGAATTAAGTAAAGTCTCTTATCATCACAGCGTGAACAAAATAAAGTTTATCACAGTGTGTTGCAAAGTGCGATTACACGTTTTAGAATGTAGGTACTATTCTTAACTAGTACTGGGTGTCACATTAGTAGAAACGATGGTATTGAACTACAGTACTTATATGGTTTCAAGATAAAAAATATTATTTTAATTGATTGCATTAACTGCTTATGGCGATTTCCGTTTCTGCCATATGAGAATGTGAATAGGTAAAAAAAACTTTAGCAATCATTTTGAAAGTTTAACTTTAACATCGGTGTTTTTATATTTTAAACTCTTAGACAGAATAATAAATCTTGGAATCTTGGACTCAAAAGAAGTTCGCTACTTCCTTCTTATGTTTGAATAATGTAGCATTTCACTTACTATAGTTTTCCCTAAAAGCTTTAGGTCCACAGATCATAATCTTAACTTACTAGTAAAATAAATCACTTATTCTGACCCAAAGACATCAAAATAATAATAACAAGTATAAAGAGCTTAAAATCCAATTTGTTCTTGACACGTACCAATGAAAATACTTGCTACTTTATGACTATTTGTTTAGTTGCTATTAACATTAAAGAGAATTTGCGACAATAGAAATAAAACAAAAAAATAATGTATAAATATTTCAATATAGGTAATATTTGTCCTATAACATCACAAGCGTAACTTTACCCGTTAGCATGCGACATTATTATGCTTATAATGAACAAAATATTTATTAAATTAAATGTCCAACCATAAAAACTATTCGTATAACTAAACACATGATTCGCTCAGTCTGAAAAAAATAATCCATAAAGCCAATTTTTCAGTTATTCTAATTATTATTGTTATACGAATGTAACTATATATGTTGTATAAATCATTTCTTAATTTTTACTTTATTAAAAGAAGAGAGAAGAAGATTTTATTAGAATAAGATAAAAAGATTAAAATACTAAAAAAAGAGTTATTTTGGGTTAAAATATTTGAATTTTAAAATTATTAAATTTAAATAATGTGACATGGTAACACTTTACACTAATATTAAACAGTTTAAATCTCTTAAGTGTTTCTAACACAAATAAAAGCAATTTGTAAGCAACGCTTCATTGGCTTGCATATTCGCATGATATAAAGTACTTCCGATAAAAAATTACCTTTAAAAGTTCCATAACAACACCAACTATGAACACTCAAAATACTAAGACAAGTTGTATTTAGCTGATTGTGCAGGAGACTGCATTATCAACAGATATTTGTTTACTAATGGTAAACATCTCGTATGTCAGTCTAGATAAGTTTTATTATGGAGATAAAAATATCATTTACCGCCGGTTTTAGTACTATAAATAATAAAATAAATAAATTAGTGGCGCTACAACCTCTTTAGGTCTGCGCCTCAGATTTCTGAACCTGTTTCATGATCATTTTTAAATCTAATAGGCAAGTAGGTGATCAGCCCCCTGTGTACACAAGCCGTCGACTTTTTGGGTTTAGGACATGTCGGTTTCCTCACGATGTATTCCTTCACCAGCGAGCGAATGTTAAATTCGCACATAGAAAGAAAGTCCGGTGCACAGCCGGGGCTCGAACCTACGACCTCAGGGATGAGTCGCACGCTGAAGCCACTACGGCCTTCGCCAATGCTGCTCCAACTATATATCGACTATAAATAATAACAATATAAAAACTTGATATAGCTATGCAATGCCGGGGTGAGTAGAGTGTTGCCAGGTCCTACATCATAGCTTAAAATCATCATAGCTTCATCATTTATACAAAAAATATCAAAGTCAAAATCGCTATTACATGTTAAAGGCTGCCGGCGCAGGAGGTATAGGACTTTTATAATCACGTTTTCGATTTATTGTACAAAAACTAGCTTTGTCTGCTAACGCAAAATCTGGCCAAGAACAAATTGCATTTTAGACTTTCCATCCAACATTTTGATTTGAATGTGATTTCTACGTCGAAACACTACAGGTTCCTTCTCAGTCAAGTTTAATTCCTGTGTCGTAATTATTAATACCACCGATAATTTTATTTCAGTTATCTTTGCTAACATACATCATGTTATGCACTGTTCCATCATTGGTTCAATGTCCAAGAAAAAAAAAGTTGAAATATTATTACCCACTAAACGATCAATAAGTATTCTAATAGATTTATAATACTAGTTTATAAATTATTTGTTGAGACATGACTTTATCATGTTTATCTAAATTTGGAAATAATGACAGATTCTTAATGATACTCCTACTCCATCGTGGTCTTTGATAATTTTTCTTAATGGTCGCTTTGATAAGATACTTGATTCATTGGAATTTTATTATAATTGCCTCAGTTCTGTCATTTTTTGGCCAATTGATAATAGATCGTAATAAATCATTCATGTGTGTGTGAGTGCTGGTGACAGCTACTTGGAGTTGGGAATATTTTTGTTTAACATGATTGTATTTTTTTTATATACATATATACTATATATGTATAATAGGCGACATACGGGCAGAAAGCTCACCTGATGTTAAGTGATACCGCTGCCTATGGACACTCATATTGCCAGCTCGCTAGCCTTTTATGAATTGGTACGCTGTTTACTTAATGGATTTAAAAAAATCTTATCAAGAAAAGCCCCCCTTTTTTAAAAGACTTTTTAAAATGTATTCTTTACTTGGTATACTTTATTTGACAACATAATAATTTCTAAGAGAGATGTTATTTTTAGCTCCTTAATTCGCCATTCTTCGATTTTAATTTGAATGCTTATATAACATGGTCCATCCATTTGGGGTCCCATCATACAGATCTAATAATTGGATCTGAGATAACTAATTAATTTGAATCTAGGTAACTTGAACACATGAAACCACCTAGTTGCAACATTCTCTGATGCATTTTGAGGTAAGCTTATTTCCATTGGAATTAATAATAATTACAGTAATAAAACACTATTTTGACCGGATTGAAGTTATGTATTATTATAAATTTACAACTATTTAACATAATTTTAAATTTATCCGACGTTTCGCGTGCTTTACAGCGTGCGTGGTCACGGTGACGTCGGATAAATTTAAAATTATGTTAAATAGTTGTAAACTTATAATAATACATAACTTCAATCCGGTCAAAATAGTGTTTTATTAAATGAATAAAAGTTATGTTAATCAAAAACAATACTAATTACAGTAAATTAAATAGGTTATATAATGAACTGTTAATGTTCTTGCATCACATAATAAGCCCTTAATTACCCTTCGTGTGAACTTCAATTGTCTACTTAAATCAGATTAAATTCACATTGTTATCTTTATCTTTTATTTGAATACTGGAGTCAAATGAGTTCAACTACATTTAAAGATATCGCTAACCAGAGTGTACTTGCTGTATTAAAATAAATCTGAAGACAATTTATTTAGCCCCATCTTATTATCGATATGTTTTTTTAAATTATGTTCATTCAACGCTGATTTGCCAATTTTCATCATAATGAAAATTAACGTTGCCTGTGTCTGAAAGCAATGTTGGCCTAGTGGCTTCGGCGTGCGACTCTCATACCTGAGGTCGTAGGTTCGAACCCCGCCTATGCACCAATGGAGTTTCTTTCTTTGTGCGATTTTAACATTCGCTCGAAAGGTGAAGGAATACATCGTGAGGAAACCGACATGTCTTAGACCGAAAAGTCGAAGGCGTGTGTCAGGCACTGGAGGCTGATCACCTAGAAGAGGTTGTAGCGCCACTTATTTATTTTTTTGTGTCAGAAATTGTTTTTTTTTTCAATTTAATGATTTTCAAGAAGACATAATAATAATTGTCTGTTGTCTAAAACAGTTCTAGACATCGTTCAGGAATTTAAAAACGGCACCCTTTTTATAATCTCTTAAAACTTATTTAAATTCTAGACGTAGACTTTATCTCTTAGTTTTACCTCCAACTCTTATTTGGGAACTTTAATACACCATCAGGAAGTAATACAAAACTGTTTAAGCATGCTTGCTTTTGCTAATAGAGACAATATTGTCTTTCATTGTCCGTTTTGTCTATTGATAATATTGACTAGGGTCATCGAATAATTCTTTGAGATCCTCAGAGCTTAGAAGAATGCTTGTGTTTTCATATCAGTCACCGCCATATAATTTTTTTTTATAACCTGAGCTCCTTTTTTACTAAGCATCTACGATGTAAACAAATAAATAAATACAATCGGGTAGAATGTTGTGGATAAAGTGCCTGCACCATCTTATCAGCTGAAGGTTAAACGCAAATTCAATTTTGGGTTTATTTGATTTTGAGTTTGGTTTCTTAATAATTGCATTATTATTATCCCTATTGTTTGTTAAACTATCGCTAATAAGTCTTTGTTAAGCGGTCATTAACGTATTTATATTATGCTCACTCACTGTGAAATAGCTCACAAATGCATAGAAGAAAACCCAACAGACCATGAAACAATTTAATTAGACCTATCCACAACTGCTTTCCAACAAAAGTTGTTTAAAAATAACTTAAATACCGGCACGGTTTAACGATGAATAATTTATACATGTGGAAAAATATTGAGTTTATTTTAACCTTGGGACGTTTGTTAAAAATATATAATTTAATTGTGAATGCCGGCAACGCACTTGCGAGCCCTCTGGCAATGTGTGTGTCTATGGGCGGCGGTATCTCTTAACATCAGTTGAGTCTTCTGCCCGTTTGCCCCCTGTTACCTTAGTAACTCAATTTCTGAGTTGACTCCAACCTACCAACGTTCTCTGTGCGTAAAGGACATTTCCACCTTGTATTACAAAAAATTGTGGACTTCTGAAAGCGAACTTCAACGCTGGTATTATGTGACTCTTAATAGCGATAGTCATCCCAACTTCAATATGCCAACACGCCACACCAGAGCGACGTCTATTGAGAGAACTACATCGACTTTGCGTCAAGATCGGTACTGCTATTGGCAGTTACGGTACGGTATGGAACTGAACTACTGGATGAATTGCTACTGAATGGCAATACGGTGAAGGGAAACATTGTGAAGAATTCAACCTAGGCAAATAAAGACTTTTACGTTTTTACTTTTAGGAGTAATAATTTATTCTGACGCATTGAGTTTATTTGAGCTGTGTTAGCCTAGTGGCTTCAGCGTGCGACTCTCATCCCTGAGGTCGTAGGTTCGATCCCCGGCTATAGACTTTATTTATATGTGCGCACGTAACATTCGCTCGAACGGTGAAGGCCGACGTACCTCCAAAACGTCGACGGCGTACGTCAGGCACAGGAGGCTGATCACTTGCCTATTAGATTAACAAATGATCATGAAACAGAAATCGAAGGCCCAGACCTAAAAAGGTTGTAGCGCCACTGATTTTTAATAATAATTCTGACACAGAATCTTACCCTTAGCGTTAAGTTCGACCCCTATTTGTTAATTCACATAAACAACATATTTGTTATATCCTAGATAGAACAGATTTCATAAATACGAAAATATAATAATGTAATACTTCAAAACTTAGTATGTAAAATGCAATTACGAACTCCTACGAGTTCCATTCAACCTTTATGCATATACTTAGGTTAAAATAGTGTTGATTTATATAAATAGTCTAGACGATCCACTTTGTATAAGCGCGAAAGTACATTAGCGGTCACGCCAAATTAAAACAATCTACTTATGGTAGTGGCATTGGTGTTCAAGTTCACAGAAACATCTTGGTTGAATAAAATTATTATTATGAACATCTATTACGATATTAAACTTATTATAATAGGCAGGGCCGCGCCGACCCCCGCCCCCCCCCTGGGTCAGAAACCCATGAAGCGCCTCCTTTTTCTATAGGGGTCAAACGAGCCTTAGGGACGGACAAAAATGGCAGTCATTGAATCTCACTAGACATTTTGCGGGTGTGTTGCAGGCCTTTGAGGGGAACTCCTTCTATATTTCGGCCTATTTTTAAGAATCTTCAAGTTTCAATGTATTTTTAATTTTGACCGAAAGAAAAATTTTCTTTAGTTTAATCAACTTAAATAGGTAAAACGTCCGCTGCCAATTCGTGAAAAATAAAATAATTAAATTGTTAATAGTTTATTTATGATGTTATTTTAATCTAACGTTTTTAAGGTCAGATTTATGACATATCTTTGTAATAAATCATCTTTTAGTAGAAAGTGACGAAAAATATTT